ATCCAAGAAAAATATAAATATGTTATTTCTATTTAGTTTTTAATAGTTACTCTTTTTAAAATAAAATAAAAATTATCGTGGTCGTGTAATTTTCTTGACTCACGTTGGTCACGTGAGGTAATGTTAGATTCTCAAAACTTCTGAAAATTATAATGTTTATTATCGCCACAAAAATATATTAATGATCGGCAACTTTTTGCAGTTGTTTCACGGATTACGAATTAATGATATTTAAAATTATTCAAGAGTTTTTTTTTGTAATCTTATTTATTTATTATTATATTTTTAGTTACACATTTATTGATTATTATTATATTATATTGTGTAATGACATCTGATACTATTATTGACAGCAAACATTTAACATCAGCATTAATTTGATAATTAATAGCATGGGTGGTTTTTGTCAAATGTAAATTTTCTTATAAAAAGAACATGTGATATTTTTCATATAAATAATTATCTTGACCTTACCTTCCATACAAGAATAATAATCTTCCTAATAATTTATAACAATGATTCCTCCAATTAATATAATAATATTCATGCTTATATATATTTATTACATAAATATTTCATTATTTGATTAATTCATATATAAATTGTTAGCTAGTTTGACTATAATAAATTCAATCAAGTCCTTTTAATTAGTTGGTTAAAATAAATAATCATTTATATTGTACAACAAACAAAATCTATTTTTCAAAAAAGAAAACAAATGACAAGTTTGCTACCTGAACTTCTAACTGAAATATTCAAATACATCAAATATGACTATAAAACATTATATTCTTGTATTCTTGTCAACAAACAATGGCACAATATTAATATTCCAACTTTATGGGAAAATCCACTTGTTTGTAAAGACAGCATCAAAATATTAATTAATTGTTTACTGGAAGAAGACAAGGATTTCTTGACTGGAAATTGCATTGAATTAAATTTTAAACTATTGGAGAAACCACCATTATATAATTATGCCAGATTTAGTGCTATACTTTTCAATCATCATAGTTTTTATAAACTTAAATTGATAAAAATTGGTGCATTACAAATTTTACGAAATAGATTAACAAAATTTATTTTAGACCATTCAGCAGGTATTAGAGGGCTTGATATTACTGAATATATGGATTTGAATTTGTTAATTAATCATTATAGATTTAATAATATTTTTCAGAATCTTTATGAATTAAATTATATTAATTCTAATAGTAGTGAATTTTTTGATAAATTAATGAATGTTTGTAAGAATATTCAATCATTAAAAATATATTATGATATTAATGATATATATATATATAAATTGGCACAGCTAATTAAAGCACAAAAGCAAATTAAATATTTAGTTATTGAGTCAAGGGATCAAATTTCACCAGATGGATTAAAAGAAGCAATATTAACACATTCACAATCAATAACTTTTTATGCATCTTATGATGGAGGAAATAATTTGAATGATTTATTAATACCAACATTTAAAAATTTAAAAACTTTAGCACTAACTGCTGATCACAAACTAAATAATTTAAAAAATATTTCATTGCAAAATATTGAATCTGTGAGGGTATATATTACATATCAACCAGTCCTATCAGACTTGTCGGATTTTATTAATATCAATGGAAAAACTCTTAAAAGTCTGGATTTTGATGGTGTTCCAGAGGATATTGGGTTTTTTGGAAGGCTGTTTCAATCAATTGCACAATCTTGCAAAAATTTAGAAAATTTATCTATATTTTATGATAATAAATTAGACCAAGAATTAATGGAAGTATTTGATAACTGTGTGAAGTTAAAAAGTTTTAGATTTAATCATACTTATTTGTCTGGAATAGACGGCAATAAAATATTAACAGTATTAAATCAAACACTACCAAAAAAATTAAGATCAATAATTTGTACTTGTGAGGTTTATAATATTAATGACTATTCATTGGCTATTCTAATGAAGAATTGGAGAGGACCCAAACCTTTAACAATGAAATTTCATGATTATGGTAATGAAGGTGATGCATTAAGCAAAATATTAAAAAAATATCAAGATTTAGGTTTTTTAAATTAATTAATAACATTTAAAATTGTTTAAAGAGTTTTTTTGTAATCTTAGTTATACAATATATTGATTATTGTTATATTATATTGCGTAATGACATATGATACTATTATTGACAGCAAACATTTAACATCAGCATTAATTTGATAATTAACGGCATGAGGTAGTTTTTGTCAAAATGTAAATTACACAGGTTACTAATAGGTATTTTCTTATAAAAAGAACATGTAATATTTTTCATATAAATAATTATCTTGACACAAGAATAATAATCTTCCTAGTAATTTATAACAATGATTCCTCCGATTAATATAATAATATTCATGCATATAATTAATTCATATATAAATTGTTAGCCAGTTTGACTATATAATAAATTCAATTAAGTCATATTAATTAGTTGGTTAGAAATAAATAATCATTTATATTAAAATCGTATTTTTCTGCAAATTTGCGTAGCATCATGAAAACATCCAATTTTATTGGCAGGTTGGGTGCGTGATATCCTTATTTAGATTATATTTATATTGTACAAACAAAATTTATTTTTTCAAAAAAAAAAAAAAAAAAAAAATGACAAGTTTGCTACCTGAACTTCTAACTGAAATAACCAAATACATCAAAAATGACTATAAAACATTATATTCTTGTATTCTTGTCAACAAACCATGGCACAATATTAATATTCCAACTTTATGGGAAGATCCATTCATTTGTGAAGGCAGCATCAAAATATTAATTAATTGTTTACTGGAAGAAGATAAAAATTCCTTGACTAGAAATTGCATTGTATTAAATTTTAAACTATTGGAGAAACCACCATTATATAACTATGCCAAATTTAGTACTAGACTTTTCAATCATCATAGTTTTTATAAACTTAAGTGGGGAGGTTGTAGTATAAATATACTACAACCTCCCCACTTATTTTAGACTACCCCCCCCATGTGGCCTAATCCGTTTTTTTGGCCACATTTGAGCGCGGCCTATTTCATTTTTTTGGCCACATTTGAGCGCGGCCTATTTCATTTTTTTGGCCACATTCGAGTGCGGCTAATTTTTAATTTCCGGCCACGTAAAAAAAATGGCATCCATATGGATCCCAACAATGCATTCACTTGTATGATGTCATTTGATTGCGGGTTGATGAAGTAGTCATTTTCAGCCTCATTTGAGTGCGGCCATTTTTTGATTTTTAGCCGCCTAGATGTGCGGCCATTTTTTATTTTTTTGTCACTTGTTTTATATCGGGTTCTCGTACCATTGATCGGAGTTTATCATAGTACCTTCTAATATGCAATAGGCATCGACCAGGAGTTGAAAAGGTCAATTTACCACATACTTTACATGGTATTATTCTTTCGTCTTTCCAATGACTACATTCCTCAGGTATCGGACTGTTTCCTCTACAAATTTCACCGGGCTCATGACCGAATAGACAAGTACAATCATCAGACATTTTTTATTATATTAAAATACAAATCTTCAAATAATCAAAATATAATAGACGAAAAATTTTTGATGACATTTTTTTTAAATCTTACTTTTGTGTATCACTTTTCTGTATTAGTATATCAAAAAATTGGATAATGACAGGTAAGCATATAAATCCCGTACATAGTATTGTAATTAAAATATATATGATTAAGCGTGAGTTCGAACTCACAGGCGCAGTAATGAGGTGCAGTAATGATATTGATTGACAATTTTTTTAGTGGCGTTTTTTTAAAATATTTTTGCGAGTAGTTGTCAGTAGTTGTCAGTAGTTGTCAGTAGTTGATCATATTCAACTACTGACAGCTTTCTTAGTCTGGTTGAGCTTCCTAGTCTTTTTCTCTTCTTTCTTGATTACTTTATTATAAGTGTCAGTAGTGTCAGTAGTAAAAAACTATTTCTAGGAAAAAAAAAAATGAAACTTTTCCTATATATGATATATATATATATTGTATATATGTGGTATATGTACGTATACATAAAAAAAAATAAAAAAAAATCGGAAATCGGAAAAACTACTACTGACACTACTGACACTTATCGAGAAGACTCGCTTTCGGGCTTAGAACTCCAGGAAAGCTGTCAGTGGCATTTTTTTTTACTGCTGACAACTGCTGACAACTGCTGACACTTAATTGGAGTATATTTATATGCCGGAATTTCCTCAACTATAATTTGCCCCCCTCCCCCTTCCACTTCAGATGACTCCTGGGCGAGCTTCTCTAGCTTTTTCCGGTAATAATAATCTTGAAATCGATACTTACCAGCATGAGTTCTACATGCACCAAATTTGGATGATGTCAATTTACCGCATTCTTTACAGGGAATACGAGTGGGAGAATCCCAGTGAACTGTACAGCCTTCTGGTCGATAGCAACCTTTATTACAAATTTTACCTGTTCGGAGAATATAAGGACAACGATAAAATCCCATATCTAAAGATTTACTAATATGATTTTTTTTTAGCAGAACTAGTTTCACTAATAATGCGTATATTATATGTCTAACACTAATATTTCTAATTAATTAATTTTTATTTGAACTTTCCTCTAACCGTTAATATATTTTCAAAATAATATGAGTGCATCTACTATGAATACCCAAAATTCTGATATCGAAAATTCAAAAACCGTTTCTGAAACTGTTTCCAATTCTCAACCGCAAAATTCCGTTTTTGAAACCTCCTTCGAAGACGTTAACAGCGCCTTCTTTCACCGGGGACACAAAGCTTTTCCTCAATCACAGATTTCAGAAAATGGAAAAGCAGAACAATTACTTCAATACTTATTCCACTATTTTGGCGGTGATTATTTAGGAATCCCAACTCGTAACGATATAGTTGCGGAAAATGATGAGGGTTTGTCTGCAATTCTTAATAATGCTTTAGCTAAACGAGAGGAAATCCCTTTCATGGCTGTCGATTTTGAGGGTTCATCGGAAAAAATAGGTGAAAAAAATCATTATGTTTTGCGTCTCTACGGCTCTCTCATTAATGGTCAAAAAGCAGTAGTTACTCTTACAGGAATCCAGATTTTCTTTGATATACTTGTGCCTGATAAAGAATTCATAGACGATTTTAAAATAAAAATAGACGTAATTCTCTCTAGTGTTATAAATACCTATAAAATAGAATATATTAAGGCCTTTCCTTTGCGTGGTTACCATACAGAAAAAAAGGCATATTTACGAATTTTTACACTTGGTAGTGGGGATAGGAAGAAAGCTCTCCAAGCTATCCAAGATAACAATTTCGAAACCGCTTCAGATGATATGTTATCATTCCACCGTAAAATAGCTAGAGAAAATGGAATTGCGATTTCTGGTTGGTCTATGATAAGCAAGTATAGATACAAGAAACATTCCCATTATACACACGATTTTCAGGTTTCTATAAATGATTTTCGACCAGTAGAAGATCTAAAAATGATAAGTGACCGTTTTCCGATTTCAGCACTCATGAGAGATTTATATCCCAGTCTCATTATGGCTTACAACCTTTCTCCAGAAAAAATGATATTAACTTATAGAGAGGCTGATATTGTACAAAAAAATAGAAATAACTTGCATAAGATTGAGTTTCCATTTAATAACCGTATTATTCATGCCTGGTGTATAAGACATGATAATCAATTCGAGAAGAAGGGTTTGTATCCTATTGTATTAGAGGATCTATTCAATAAGAGAGTAAATCTTAAAGCACAGCTTGTCTCATTAGGAAAGAAAAAGGAACACCTCGGGAAAATGATAAGTTCAGTTAAAGAGAAAGGTAAAAAAATCCCGGAAAGCTTAAATTCAGAATATTTATCCATATGTTTTGATTATAATTGTTTAAATTCCAAGCAGTTCGCTTTAAAGGTATATATGAATACTTTTTACGGGGAAGCAGGAAATAGCAACTCTCCATTCTTTCTTCGTGAATTAGCTGGAGGGATCACTTCCGCGGGTCAGTATAATATTGATCTTGTTGCTAAATTTGTATCTGGGAAAGGTTTTGGAATAAAATACGGGGATACTGATTCTTTATATCTTACATGTCCAGATAAGTATTACGAAAAATATGATAGAGCTTTTAATGAAGATAGACTTTCCAAGGAGGAATACTGGTCTGAAATGGTTAAAATTACTATGGATGTGATGAAAAAGTTGCGTGATCAAGTAAATGCTTATCTTAGGATTAAAAACGGCACATCTTATCTTAAAATGGCATACGAAGAAGTATTATTTCCTGTTTGCTTTACTGGCAAGAAAAAATACTTCGGTGTACCGCATGAAGGGGTTGTCAATTTCAAACCAGATAATCTCTTTAAAAAAGGGATTGATAGTATAAAGCAAGGCCAGTCCCAGCTTTTCAAATTTATCGGGGAAAAAATCATGTGGGAAGCTATGGATATAAATAATACACGATCAATTCATAAAATTGTTGAAGATACTCTCAGAGAGGCCAAACATAAGCAATGGGACTTTAGTCAATTTATTGGGATGGCTACATGGAAGCCTAAGAAAAAAAACCTTCGTGTTCAGCGTTTTATAACTCGAATGAAAGAAAAAAAAATGAATATCCCAGATCCTGGTGAACGCTTCAGTTATGTAATAATAAAGGGTGAACGTTATCGTGATGAAAAAGGTCGATTAATACCGTATAGACTTGGTGATTATATGGAATATCCAGAGTTTGCAAAAGAGCAGAACATGGAAATAAATATCAACCACTATATAGAAAGTACTTTGGGATTATGTGCGCGGTTTATTAACGAAGACGAGAAATATCAACCATTATCTACACATAAAATTATGCAACTCAAAGATTCAGATGAGAAAGAAAAGCAGATTGATGCATATTCCCAAAGAGAAGCTAAAAAATGGCTTACGAAATATGTTAAAGACTTGAATTGATTAGCTGTGCTATTATATTGTTAAGTATTCTTGGTTAGAATTGACAGACTCCACTAAGATACTTATACATCATTAATAATATTTTTTCGCGGATTTGGACTTCGTAGATTTTTCTTTATTCCAAATAATAAGCTTATGCACAAACCGTATAATTAGTATTGCTATTATTATAAGAATAACAAGCTTAACAATGGGAGGGATTCGATACTTATCATTAACCAAGGTTTCACATACCCCTAATGCCCCAATAGGTAATATCTCGGCCATTTTTGTTTTAGTCGCATAACTTTGATCATTTCCAATGAAATCAGTTTTAGAGATGGCTTCTTCCGAAAAATCTTTAGTCTCTACTATTTGTGAAATATCAGCGTTACTGGTAGAAGACTTCATATTAATTGATCTCGAAGAATCGAGTATTTGAGGCTTTGTCTCGTCATTAGCCTTATTTACGGTATCACTGGATTGGGGTATATCGATTTCTTCTATCTGGTCCATATTTTTTTTTCGTAAATATTTACTAAGATTTTTTATAGTAATAGGTTTATTAACTGCAAAGATATCAGATGCGAAAGCATCCTCACTTCGTGAGACGGAATTCGATATTTTTTTTTCATCCATCTCACCACCGATCTTGACTGGTTCTGCTGATAACCTGATTTCTAAGGAGTGTATCTCTGAAGTTTTCAAGGCCAAATCATCTTTCATTCGTTTCAATTCGTCATCTTTCGATGCCAATACATTTTCCATATGCGCCAATTCACTATTTTTCGAAACTAGATTAGAATTTAAAGCAGATAATTCGGTCCTAAGGGGGGTAATCTCAGATTCTTTCATAGACAAGTCCTTCTGAGCCGAAGATAATTTCGTCTTCGATGCTTCTATCTTAGATAAGAAATCTTTCATCTCTTTGGATTTTGAACGAATCTTGTCTTTGAAATTACTAAGTAAAAGATCTTTATCAGTAATGCGGGATTTGAGAGTATCTATTTTTGAGCGTAATTGTTTAACCTCGTCTATAAGCCGATATATATGATTGGAAAGCTCCTTATTATTTTGACGTAATTGAGCATTCTCCTTATTGATATTTTTGGTACGATTCGAGTATACCACTTGCATATTTTTATATTCACTAGTAATTTCGGAATTGGACTTGATACTATTATGTAATGCCACCTCGAGTTCCTGTTCGCGGATACTGCCAAGCCTATACCCCCCCCCCCTTGTATTTTTTTGGATTCCGTACTCTTGGTATCTCGTAATGTACGTACATTGGCCATTCATATATTCTAAAAAAAAAACGCCGCTAAAAAAATAAATAAGTAATGGATTTACTACGCAAGATACATACTGTCATAAAATAATTAAATATTAATAATACTGATAAAATACAAAGCTTTTAATTTACAGAATCATGCCTAGATATCTAAGAGCCGATGCAACTCCCCTTTCACCTGAAGCAATTTGCGAGATTATGAATGCTAAATATACAAAAAATGTATTATCAGTTTTAGTCAAAAAGTATAAAATATCAAATACACGTATTTATAAAATTTGGAGAGGACAAGAATACTATGCTGGTCTTACATTTAAGGTTGATCAAAATCAAAATATTGATTGGGATAAAGAAATCGAAAGTATGTATGATTTATATGCGGAACTTCCACCAGAATTACACCAATCTATAACCAATCTCTCATAGGTACACTATCTGGATCGTATAAATGTCAAACTAATATATTACGGAGTAAATTATATTGTACTAATTGCAGTCATTATAATTCATATCCATAGACCAATTCAATACCGATGCGGAACCTATATCATTCGGATAGTATATATAACCAATATCGAATAGAATGCAAATAAGTTTTTGATTGGTATCATTTTTTTTTTCTACTATATATTTACTATGGAAAAAAAACAAACATATCAACCCACTCGTGTACGTAAATTTCTCAGACCAGATGCTACTCCTTTATCACCTGAAGATATCGAAGAAATCAAGAATGCACCCAGCAATATTCCAAATGCAGGTCGTGTTATGTGTAAAAAATATCGCATAGGTATGACCAGGTATAGAGATATAATCAATAATCGAATACCTCGTGAACCAACCGAAGAATGGCTCCATATTGTAGAATTGGTCAAGAATTCGTCTGCACCAACAATATTACCTGAGAATCCTAACCGAACTGATGAAAATACTTTGCATCTAGAATCTAGTGTTGCGCCTATTAATCTTCCAGTACCTGTAGTTGTAGGAGATACAAAAAAGAGGAACACAAATCCGTTCATATGTCTGATCCGTCTTCCGATAGTAGTCGTGTGACATTTCCCTGAGGCTGCTTTTCTATATGTGAAAATAAATTCGAAATTCGTGTCACATGAAGTTTTT